TGCAAAGATTGTCTGAAAAATGTCGGGAATTCTTCCACCTACAGCACAACCACGCTTTTGATGTAATGTGATTTATTCAATAAATAAATTTTAAATAGATTAGTTGCATTTCCTGCACATGCCTTTATTTCTGATAAAGGAGCCGGAGTATTTAACGTGCATTTATCGTTATCGAGGTAAAACTGCCCAATTTATTATGATATTGATTTCAGGTCATATCGCCCAGCCCTACCCGATAGTGTTTGAAAGATGTCTCCTAACAATTTTTAAATATTAATCCCCAATCTAAAGCGGTAGTGTAGTTCTTTTTTTTTTTTCCCCTTTCACAAGATTATTAGTCTGGTAGAATTGGTAAAGGAATCATTGAAGTCTAGTTTCTAGGTCACTTGTTTGTCTAAAGGAGGAAAATACTTGCTTGTTCAATAGTGATAGTAGTGGTATATATCAATGCAGTGAGGCCTTGGATGTAGTAATAATTCCTCCGCTATTCATCAGTTATGAATGAAAATCAGCCATAAAGAAGAGGCAATAGAGAGGCTACTCCTCTACCTTAAAAAGTTTACTTTTTCACTTGGAATATGCATGACAACTATATCTCTCTATCTTAAAAACATAAGTTACTGTGAAAAGTTTGCCAAACTTCTTTGGTTTTAAAAACACTGACTGTGGTTTAAGAAGGCTCATTTTATTTTCAGGCTACGTTGCATTCAACAGCCAAGGGCAAGGCCAAGCTTCAGAAGAAACTCGAGAAGAAGAAGCAGGTTGATGGAACGTTCAAGATCTACGAAGACGGGAGGAAGAGTGTCCGCTCACTTTCAGGCCTGCAGCTCGGTAACGACGTCATGTTCCTTAAACAAGGCACTTACGCCAACCCTAAAGAACGGACCCGCCTCAACATCCGGGACATGTTCCCCCGGGATAATGATGACGACGTTGACACAGTTTCTCGTGCCATGAGTGACCCCGGCCTCTATGAGGCTGCGTACTCTGAAATAAGCGCAGACTCTGGCCGGGACTCTCTTTTTAACCGCCCTGGTCTTGGCACTATGGTCTTCAGAAGGAACTATATGACAGGCGGTATGTTCGGGATTGGAGGACGAGATGAAGGGAGTGTTGTAGGAAGTGAACCTATCGGTAGAGCACCTAACGTCCGTCTACCTCAGCGCTCTCCTAGCTTTGATGAGGACAGTATCGGCAGCGCAATAAGCCTACAGGAGATGAACCTGCAAGAATTACCTTGGGAAGAGGCCGACATTGGGTTAGATGAAGACATGGAGCCAGATAATAATCCTCTAGAGACTTTCCTAGCCACTCAGGGCCTCAGTGAGTTCTTACCCATCCTCAATCGTGAGAAGATTGACATGGAGGCACTCGTGCTATGTTCAGATCAGGACCTCAGTAGCATTCATATTCCATTAGGCCCTAGAAAAAAGCTGCTGGACGCTTGCAAAAGGCGTCTTGATGTTCTCAAAGAACCAGAAGCTGTTGAAGACTCTGAGCTGTAAGATTCAATCTGTTTTATAGTAGAAGCCTCATCCTTCACTTTTATTTCTACTAGATAGGTGCATGGACAACTTCCTTAATTGTGATGTCTTTGATCATTGATATACTTTCTCATTGGGCCAGGTCTCCAGATGACCAGGTGATGTGAAATTATCAGTGTTTCTCAGAGTATAATGCCACCATCTAGTGGCCACCAGGTGTAACTATACATAAGCTGACACTGAAGGTTCTTTAAAGCATGAGTTTTATTTGTATTTTTACACATACTTATGTGAAATGTAGAGTTTGGCTCAATATTGTGCTGCTAAATACAAAACAATTAACAAATAACATAAAGTAATACAAACTTTACTGTGAATACGGTTTTTGGTTTTCCAAAAGTACAATACAATAAAACATTCCTTATTGTAACATTCAATAAAGTCTGCATTGTTGCATCAAAGAATAAATAAAAATACATTTATTTACTTTAAGATGTATTATTTTTTTTTTCTTTGGTAGATGTTTGTCATTGATTGAACTATCCGTTTGAGAGAGAACTGACATGAGACTGAATGCAAACAGAATGAGATGACGAGGTGTCTGGGCCAAGTTACGTGTTGTGCGTAAGATAAAGCTGCAGTTTCAAGTTCCTCCACGTCGGCTCACCTTTCAGCTCTGGTTGTAGCCGTACCCGGGGTCACGACCTTGCATGTATGATCAGTTTTATGTTTATGTAGTTACTGCCTGAAAATACACTTACGAACATGACTTTAAATAAAATCAAGTCAATTTGGTCATTTTTGTCAGCGTCTTTATTGGATAGATTAATAGATAGATAATGATTGTTTTTAATGCTGTTAGAATTAACATTATGTCCAATATTTTTTCCAACTCTTTCAGACACTAAATTTGTGTAATTATGTTTCTCTCTACTACTATATTTATCATGACTTATCTTTTTTTTTTATTAATAATTTTCGATCATTTCTTCCTTTTAGTTTAATTTCCTTCAAGAGATTTTCAGATTTCATGTTAATTTTTTTGCTTTTTACTGTTTTGGATTTTAGCCATTTGACATTTATATTTTAGCAAAACTAAAATGATAATTTCTATCAGTCAGGGTTTTTCTCTTCACTGTCAAGACAAGGACAGTGAGAGTTTAAGAAACACAAAATGACACTAATGATACAAAAATGGAACTCTAATCTGAAATTTTTAGCTTTTTGACTCGTTTATTCCACACCGATCTGCAGTTATTGCAAATCTGGATAATTGGGTATACAAAATTTGATGTTCAAAAATAGGTGGAAGTTTTTAAAACTAAATCATCAGCACAGGCTAATAAACATAAAATGTCCTTTTGCTGAAAAAGAAAAGTGAGGAAAGCCTAGCATTACCATTTTGAAATGTAATGGAACCCCCCTCTAACCAGAAGTGCTATTGCACTTCTGGTTAGACCTAAACTGCATTTTGTTGCCTTTTACCTTTTCCCAATGTCATGACAATAAAGTTGAATCTAATCTAATCTAATTTAATGTTTAATGCAGACTAGTTACAGTGATCTATGGAGACAGACAGGAGATGGAGGAGCCATGGATGGAGATGTTTTGCCTCAGTGGGATCTGACCAGCTCACCATTATAGAATCCATGGGCTGTACATGCAAAATCTGATTTCTGAGGATTAGGGTTAACTTTTTTCTGACTGATATGAGCAATATTATTTTACCCCAAAGTCTAATATTAAAATTTCTACTCCAATGCATTTCCAGGAAGCTTCTAGTTACTTTTTCCTTTTGGCTCAGCTTAGCTTTGTAATCCACTGTTGCTGTTTTTCTTTTTTGAAGTACAATTTCAACATGGAAGATAGCAGCCCTTAGGACTGTTTTAGATATTTGCATGACATTCCACAGATGTGAGAAACTCAAGGCAGATTTTATTTGTAGTTTATAATTCTAATAAGGCGTTAGTTGAAACCATGTGGCCAAGTTGTTCAGTAGAATGAGTTCTCAAATCATAATGCAGTTTTTATGTGGTAATAGATCCAACCTTTAACCTCTATTCTACAGTGAAAGTGTGAGGAGAATCATAATGATTGTTCAAATGAAAAATAATAAACAAAATAGCTTTATTTTTCTGAGGCATTTTTACACTGTAGTTTTTGGAGGTTCTACGCATCAATACATAAGAAAGTAACAAAGTTCTGAAAATTATACAGAAAGGAATTGATATTATGAATATAATTTGGATTTTTGAAAACTTTTAAATGCATGTTCTTTTGATTACTTAGGTATTTTTCAAAAGTCAGTACTTCAATATTATAACTTTAGTAGATGTTTGACGGAATAAATTTAACTTGTAGTTAAGATTGGCCATCTTTTTTGACAATGCTTAAATTATTCTCTGTGGGGTTCGGGCTAGAATAATGTAATATACTGCTCTAATTTATATTATTTAAAAAAAAAACATCTCAGTAGCCTCTCAGCAGAGGGAAGCATAAAGGGATCTAAACATTTCCTGGTAGATGGCTTTGCTGACTATGTACGAAAGGAAACCTTGGTGGAAACTTCACACTCAAGTCTCTAGCAATCGTGTTTTTTTCCCCCAGCAGATTTTCCTTCCACTTAACTTTCTTAACTCTCTAATGATAAACCTTTAGCTTCTGTAGCAATAGGGGTTTGGAGTGTCACAAAACAGCATTCTTCTTCACTCAGATGTTACATACGTATTTAATATCTCGTTTTATTTGGCTTAATTAAAAATAACATTTTCTGAGAAGCTTAATTGTAAGTTTTTAAAAGATGTAAGCCATAATTCTCTCAATAATCTAAAACAAGTAGTTTAAATATTACATGACAATCTGTGTAATGAATCTCTATATCTGATTTTTTTCTAACTGAATAATAAATTAACCTTTCAGTGATGCTCTGATTTATTCAGATGCACATGTGCAACCCTACCTGACATCGCAACATTATCTGGTTTAACTATAATATAATAATTTAAGAATTAAACATTAGAAATCATGTTATTGTTATTAGTCTTTGAACAAATCACCTGCATATTGATGGATGAATCACAGGCAGAACAAGAAGGCATAACAATCTATCTGCTGAATCCAGCAGCTTGTGACTTTTAGAACAAGTTTAAGCATATTTTGCTTGGAGTAAAAAGGAAGGATATGACGGGTTTTCGGATTTGGCTGAACAACTTATGTTTCCTCATTTGTTAATAACAACCGACCAGTCCTTTCTGTGAAAAAAATTAATCTCAATTTTTCTTAACTAACATTTCATCCCATCTTTAATTAATGTGGACTTTAACTAGACTAGTCTATGGTTTGATATAAACCATTATATTGCAGCTCAGGCTCAAGGCTCCTACTTATTAGGTCTTGCTCTCACATCTGTGAAAATAAAAAAATTAGCTTGGAAAAGGAGGGATTTAGAGCAATAGAATTAGCCTTTAACAGCAATACACCAGTCAGGAAAGAAAACAAGAGAGAAACAAGTTGATATCAACACAAAGCAGACATCTCTGCAAGTTTTTATTTTCTTCAATCGAAGTATTTAAAAAACTACAAAAGAATTGGATCATTTTCTGAAAACCCAGCTATCCAACTCCAGCAAAGATCCATATATAAAGAACCAGAATGAATGTAATAATTTACGGCACAGGTAAATCAGAACACCTCAATCCAAAATACTTTTTAGTAAAAAAAAAAAAAACAACTTAAACTGCAATAACCTTTAATAGAAACGCTTTAAAAAACAGAAATAAACATGAAGCAAACAACTTCTGAATTTTGCTCTACGATTTAGAACTCTTCGCCCTCCTCATCTTCATCTATACCGTCGTGCCCCACCTCCTCATAATCTTTCTCCAGAGCAGCCATGTCCTCTCTGGCCTCAGAGAACTCCCCCTCCTCCATGCCCTCGCCCACATACCAATGGACAAAGGCCCTCTTGGCGTACATCAGGTCAAACTTGTGGTCGAGACGCGCCCAGGCTTCAGCGATGGCTGTGGTGTTGCTCAGCATGCACACGGCCCTCTGAACCTTGGCCAGGTCTCCCCCAGGAACCACGGTGGGAGGCTGGTAGTTGATGCCAACTTTGAAACCAGTGGGACACCAGTCCACAAACTGGATGGTGCGCCTGCTTTTCATGGTTGCGATGGCGGCGTTGACATCTTTCGGCACCACATCCCCTCTGTACAGCATGCAGCAGGCCATGTACTTGCCGTGGCGGGGATCGCACTTCACCATCTGGTTGGATGCCTCAAAGCAGGAGGATGTGATCTCAGATACAGTGAGCTGCTCATGGGACGCCTTTTCAGCTGAGATGACAGGGGCATAGGCAGCCAGTGGGACACCAGTCCACAAACTGGATGGTGCGCCTGCTTTTCATGGTTGCGATGGCGGCGTTGACATCTTTCGGCACCACATCCCCTCTGTACAGCATGCAGCAGGCCATGTACTTGCCGTGGCGGGGATCGCACTTCACCATCTGGTTGGATGCCTCAAAGCAGGAGGATGTGATCTCAGATACAGTGAGCTGCTCGTGGCACGCCTTTTCAGCTGAGATGACAGGGGCATAGGCGGCCAGTGGGAAGTGGATCCGAGGATAGGGCACCAGGTTGGTCTGGAACTCTGTCAGGTCAACATTCAGAGCTCCATCGAAGCGAAGAGATGCCGTGATGGAGGACACCAACTGAGCCATCAGCCTGTTGAGATTAGTGTAGGTTGGACGCTCAACGCCCAAGTTCCTGTGGCAGATGTCGTAGATGGCCTCATTGTCCACCATGAAAGCACAGTCTGAGTGCTCCAAGGTGGTGTGGGTAGTGAGGATGGCATTGTAGGGCTCCACTACAGCCGTGGAAACCTGAGGAGCCGGGTAAATGGCGAACTCCAGCTTGGACTTTTTGCCATAATCTACAGACAGGCGCTCCATCAAGAGGGAGGTGAAACCAGAGCCGGTTCCTCCGCCAAAGCTATGGAAGATCAGGAAGCCCTGAAGCCCGGTGCACTGGTCACACTGTGTACAGAGAGGGAGAACAAGAAGGACGCTTAAAAATCTCATTTCAAATACACTTCAGCTGGCCTCAGCAGGAGCTGGATTCAAACTCCAGCAGCCCTATTAATATTGCCTTAAATATGTGGAAACTCAATAAATCCAACATTGAATCCACCTACCAGTTTACGGATTCTGTCCATAACAGGATCAATGAGCTCTTTCCCGATGGTGTAGTGTCCACGGGCGTAGTTGTTAGCAGCATCCTCCTTCCCAGAGATCAGCTGCCCAGGTTGGAACAGTTGTTTGAAGCGCCCAGTTCTCACTTCATCTAAGAGACGCATTTTAATTATAGACCGGATTTATTTGTTTGACTGAGTATAAAGATAAATAAGATCAAATAAATAAAGATATTTACCAACAACAGTGGGCTCCAAGTCCACAAAAATCGTTCTAGGGACATATTTTCCTGCTCCAGTCTCACTGAAGAAGGTGCTGAAAGAGTCGTCTCCTCCACCGGTGCGCATTTCACTTTGAATATGGCCGTCTGGCTGGATCTCATGTTCAATGCAGTAGAGCTCCCAACAGGCATTCCCGATCTGAACGCCAGCCTGGCCAACGTGGATGGAGATGCACTCACGCTGACAAAAAAACAAACAAAGATTGCATAATTACCTTTTATAACAATTTGGTTATAAACGGAGACAAATAGTCATGTCATTCAAACAGATATAATTTAACAGCATATCTTCTGGGGCTAATGTATACATGCCACTGTATTGTACAATTGTAATGATTATCCTATAATCCCTCAATTCTCATTCCTGTTGGAGGCAGTGGAGTCAAATATGAGATTATAACCCTTGATCAAAACTTCTGCCAGTTACCTAAATTCCTAACGGGACAAAATAAATAAATAACAGAGACCGAAAAAAATGCATTGGTTCAGCTGAAACCGTTAGGGACAACCGTTGCAGCGGAAAAAAAAGTGCACAATGAGCTAAAATAAATATATTTAAAATCAATTTCCAGAGCAAATGTTGGTAAAAAATCAAACCTGACCTAAGTTCAGAGTGCCCGAAAACTTTTTTTGTCAATAAAAACTGCAATTTCGTTAATAAAGTAAAAGCCTTGTCTATTGAATTAAAATGCTAGCTTGTTCAAAGCATTCGGCTCAATTTCCCTGAATTTCAGTTTTCCCTGAATTTTCAGCCTACATTCAAATATATTTTAAAAATATTTTCATATTAATCTTACCATTTTGTAAAGTTGTTGCTGTTAACTTTAACTGAAACCGTTCAAAACGCTCCAATCTATCCGTTGTGCTGCTGACAGGACATAAAATAAAGAAAATCTAAACGGTTTGAGCTAATTTGTGAAATGGACCATACCATTACGCTGGAGGGGGTGTTGGACTTTACCATTGATCATTGACCACAATAATAATATAACAAAAATCACAAAATCAACTAAAACTTATTAGTAATAATTTTATTACTTAATTGTTATCCCCAATACAAAACTTAAAAATGAGAGATTATTAAATGCAAGATTATTAACATCAATAGAAAACGTTTAGAAATATTAGATCTTTTAAATAGATTTGTACATGAAATAAGTTACACTTTCTCAATGAATCAGTTCTGCTTCACATGATATATTAAGTTAAAAATGACCACTGATCAACTAAGGTTGAATGATGACACAAAATACTATAGATATCAAAATATTGGTGAACATCCGTTGGAAAGCGTCATATTGGCAGCAAACTGCAATTGTTTTCAAACAAAGTTATTCAAAACCATAAGGTTTAGAACTTAGTCTGACAGGCAGCTCAGCTGAGAATATGAATACTGTATTAATGACTTCTAGGGATAAATTTATGAAAAATAATTTTACCTTTATTCCTGCTTTTGTTATGTATGTTCATGTCTGCACATAGGATAGTCCTAATCAGGAAAATCATAACTTTATAGATATATTTAAATCGTACAAACAACTAATAATTTTTAAAGCCTTGCATTTTGGAGTGATACATGCTAAGAACAAATATTTTCAATAAGGTCAGATATACTACTGATTTATTGATCATATTATCTTTTAATATATAAACAGAAATTTATCTTTTAAAAAGACAAAATTGTACATATGCTTTGGGGTAGTTGTGAATTAGTCTGTTTCAATGCTGAATAATAACAGTAAATGGCCCTTACAGTGTCTTTTCAAGTCAGCGGACTCCAGAGGGCTTAGATTACACTATAAATCAAAAGAACAAGATTTGTCCTTGCAGCCTCATATTGGGGGATCATTTCTTGTTTGTTTTTTTGGAGTATGTAACATGCATTAGGGTCATTGCTATGCTGGATGTCCTCAACAGTCTTTTTTAAATATATCTATGAAGTGATGATTTTCCTGATAAAAACTATCCTAAATAGCAAATAGCTAAACAGGAATGAAGGTAAGATTATTTTTCCTTAATTTTGTTCTAAAAGTCATTAATTGAGGGGATTGTCGGCCTAATGGTTAGGGCATTGCGCTTGGAATCTAGAGTTTCTGAGTTCAAGGCCCAATCCCACAGACTGACATCTTCATCCCTGCCGTCTATATCATCTTCCTCTTCGTCCTCGTTATCCCTCGGTCATCCTCTGCACCACAGGTACAGGAGGACGAGATAAATCAGTATCTGGCCAAGCAGGACGGCAAGATCTGCAGGAACAAAGATCCCCAGCTGTAAGACCGACGGAACGGCCGCAAACATTTAAATCAAAAGCAGATGTGGAAAAGCTCATAAATCACTGTTTTGTTCCAGATGTCATCATAGTGCCCTTGGAAAATGCGTGCACTGTGTACCGTTAGAGGTAACAGCCAGTCTTTCATAATAAAACTGATGGGATAAAAAATTTTAACAAGCAAAATGCTGAAGGATGCAGCTTCTGTCTTTTCCAGCCTTTTGACGAAGACTATCTGAACCACCTGCCATTTGGTATGTGCATTTTTCTACAGGCCAATACAAAACACCTGTTTTTTTTGTCTTTGTTTTTATTTACAGCAGTGAAGTAGAAATTCAGCCACATACCACCTTAGGGAATAAAGGTTGCCAAGCTGAAATGGCACTGAAATGATCATGTGACTCCTATCTTATCCCTGATTGCTGGAACTGGTGGTGTTACAACTCTCCCCATGTTACAACCATACCCGGTCTCCCCTATATATACACTATATTGCCAAAAGTATTTGCTCACCTGCCTTGACTCACATACACTATATTGCCAAAAGTATTTGCTCACCTGCCTTGACTCACATATGAGCTTAAGTGACATCCCGTTCCTAATCCATAGGGTTCAATATGACGTCGGTCCACCCTTTGCAGCTAGAACAGCTTCAACTCTTCTGGGAAGGCTGTCCACAAGGTTTAGGAGTGTGTTTATGGGAATTTTTGACCATTCTTCCAGAAGCGCATTTGTGAGGTTGCACACTGATGTTGGACGAGAAGGCCTGGCTCTCAGTCTCCGCTCTAATTCATCCCAAAGGTGTTCTATCGGGTTGAGGTCAGGACTCTGTGCAGGCCAGTCAAGTTCATCCACACCAGACTCTGTCATCCATGTCTTTATGGACCTTGCTTTGTGCACTGGTGCACAGTCATGTTGGAAGAGGAAGGGGCCAGCTCCAAACTGTTCCCACAAAGTTGGGAGCATGGAATTGTCCAAAATGTCTTGGGATGCTGAAGCATTCAGAGTTCCTTTCACTGGAACTAAGGGGCCAAGCCCAGCTCCTGAAAAACAACCCCACACCATAATCCCCCCTCCAACAAACTTTACACTTGGCACAATGCAGTCAGACAAGTACCGTTCTCCTGGCAACCGCCAAACCCAGACCCGTCCATCAGATTGCCAGATGGAGAAGCGCGATTCGTCACTCCAGAGAACGCGTCTCCACTGCTCTAGAGTCCAGTGGCGGCGTGCTTTACACCACCGCATCCGACGCTTTGCATTGCACTTGGTGATGTATGGCTTGGATGCAGCTGCTCGACCATGGAAACCCATTCCATGAAGCTCTATGCGCACTGTTCTTGAGCTAATCTGAAGGCCACATGAAGTTTGGAGGTCTGTAGTGATTGACTCTGCAGAAAGTTGGCGACCTCTTCGCACTATGCGCGTCAGCATCCGCTGACCCCGCTCCGTCAGTTTACGTGGCCTACCACTTCGTGGCTGAGTTGCTGTCGTTCCCAAACACTTCCATTTTCTTATAATACAGCTGACAGTTGACTGTGGAATATTTAGGAGCGAGGAAATTTCACGACTGGATTTGTTGCACAGGTGGCATCCTATCACAGTTCCACGCTGGAATTCACTGAGCTCCTGAGAGCGACCCATTCTTTCACAAATGTTTGTAAAAACAGTCTGCATGCCTAGGTGCTTGAATTTATACACCTGTGGCCATGGAAGTGATTGGAACACCTGATTCCAATAATTTGGATGGGTGAGCAAATACTTTTGGCAATATAGTGTATGAGCTTAAGTGACATCCCGTTCCTAATCCATAGGGTTCAATATGACGTCGGTCCACCCTTTGCAGCTAGAACAGCTTCAACTCTTCTGGGAAGGCTGTCCACAAGGTTTAGGAGTGTGTTTATGGGAATTTTTGACCATTCTTCCAGAAGCGCATTTGTGAGGTTGCACACTGATGTTGGACGAGAAGGCCTGGCTCTCAGTCTCCGCTCTAATTCATCCCAAAGGTGTTCTATCGGGTTGAGGTCAGGACTCTGTGCAGGCCAGTCAAGTTCATCCACACCAGACTCTGTCATCCATGTCTTTATGGACCTTGCTTTGTGCACTGGTGCACAGTCATGTTGGAAGAGGAAGGGGCCAGCTCCAAACTGTTCCCACAAAGTTGGGAGCATGGAATTGTCCAAAATGTCTTGGGATGCTGAAGCATTCAGAGTTCCTTTCACTGGAACTAAGGGGCCAAGCCCAGCTCCTGAAAAACAACCCCACACCATAATCCCCCCTCCAACAAACTTTACACTTGGCACAATGCAGTCAGACAAGTACCGTTCTCCTAGCAACCGCCAAACCCAGACCCGTCCATCAGATTGCCAGATGGAGAAGCGCGATTCGTCACTCCAGAGAACGCGTCTCCACTGCTCTAGAGTCCAGTGGCGGCGTGCTTTACACCACCGCATCCGACGCTTTGCATTGCTCTTGGTGATGTATGGCTTGGATGCAGCTGCTCGACCATGGAAACCCATTCCATGAAGCTCTCTGCGCACTGTTCTTGAGCTAATCTGAAGGCCACATGAAGTTTGGAGGTCTGTAGTGATTGACTCTGCAGAAAGTTGGCGACCTCTTCGCACTATGCGCGTCAGCATCCGCTGACCCCGCTCCGTCAGTTTACGTGGCCTACCACTTCGTGGCTGAGTTGCTGTCGTTCCCAAACACTTCCATTTTCTTATAATACAGCTGACAGTTGACTGTGGAATATTTAGGAGCGAGGAAATTTCACGACTGGATTTGTTGCACAGGTGGCATCTTATCACAGTTCCACGCTGGAATTCACTGAGCTCCTGAGAGCGACCCATTCTTTCACAAATGTTTGTAAAAACAGTCTGCATGCCTAGGTGCTTGAATTTATACACCTGTGGCCATGGAAGTGATTGGAACACCTGATTCCAATAATTTGGATGGGTGAGCAAATACTTTTGGCAATATAGTGTATATATATATAAAAAAAAACTTTGGCAACCTTTATTCCATAAGGTGGTATGTGGCTGCATTTCTACTTCACTGCAGAAAAAAAAAAAAAAAAACAAAAAAAAAACAGGTGTTTTGTATTGGCCTGTAGAAAAATGCACATACAAAATGGCTCACAAGAAGTGACTGTGGATGAGATTACTGCGTGTACGCATCCCCACAGCATTGGCATGTTGCTCCACAGGCGCAGGGGGGAGGTTGGGGTTCTCTGGTATGGCATCAGGGTGACATGTATGGGAGAATTATCCTGCCATAATGCAAGAGCACATAATTTCAATGTGCTACCCACTGCGCCACTGAGCAGCCCATCTTGTCAATCTGATTACTTTAAGGTTGCTTTTTAAAAATATGCATTTGAAAATATATATTTTTTTAGATAACCACGACTTTCCCAAAGGATCCTCAGTACACCTTTACATCCACACAATGCTTCCTGATTGAAAATCGTGACATCCTCGGAGAAACACAAGTAAGTCGTTTTTAAGTTTCCTTCCCAGCTCTGATTGTTTTCACATCTCCTCAGAGCCTGGCTGTGCTCAAAGCTCCAAATATGGAAACCCTCAAAGGGACGTTCTTAGTGAAGCTGAATGTTTTGTTTTTGTACAGGATTTCCACAGTCTAGGCACGTACCTGTCCCAGTGCTCCTCTGTGTCATTCCTGAACATCGTCTCAGACTTCCATTTGCTCCTCTTCCTCGTCACCAACGAAGTCATGCCTCTGAGGGTGATTCAGCCTTATACCTTATCACTCCTGCTGATTTCCAGCTTTGGCTGTAAGGGTTGGTTTTACTGGACCGACGCTCTTTTTTTTTTCTTGTTCGTTTTTTTCCTTTTTGGTTTGATTTCTCTGTTTTGTTTTACTTTTTTTTTCTGCTGCACTTCAGTGTTATACATTTCAGATACATCATTTACGTTACAGTCTGTAATTACAGCATTTATCACCGACTGACGTTACAGATTTTATTTATTGTTTGAGGTGTTTTGTTTTTTTAGGGAAATACTACTAAAATCTTATATTGAAGGATTTTTGATTAATTGGAAAAAAAAATGGCATCAGTTCGTACAGCCTTGTTATACAGGCATTTTAAATGCCTTTCTTATACTGATGTCGAAGGTATTGTGTATCCGAACAAATCGTGATATAAATTTTGGCCGGATCGTCCAGCTATGATTAGAGGTGTTTGAAAGACCAGAAATAAATGGAGTGGGGAGGGTGTCATGGAGAATGCTTAAGTTAAAAAAAGTATAAGCTGTGAAGCAAACTGTATAACATTTCAATTCAATCTAAACAATGATGTCACATTACAGAGCTGGGGGAGTTTGTTTTTAGCCTTTTAGGAAGCATAAAGCCTGAGTGGGCAGATAGTGTCTATGGACTGAGTGAATATTAGTTAAACTGATATAATGCTGAGTGGTGTAGACCTGCTCTACATGAAAAGTGCCCTGAGGTGCTAGACGTTTCTGTGTTACTTTGTAAAGGGAGTTTTCTGTTATCAGTTGTTTTGTTTTGTATTTTCCATGAACTTCAAGCATTCTTTAGTTACTCTCTGTTGCCCCCTTGTGATTGTTTTCTTTCCCCTTGGATTCCCTCTTGCCAGTTCCACCCACACCTGCTCCTCATTCAGCTCGTTAGTCCATCCTTTTGTTTGGTTCTCCTTAAATACTCCACCTCTGCAGTCACTCAGTGCTGCTTCCTTCTCGTTGCTGTATTGTCTACTCTGCTCGTCTCTCCCTGGCTCCTCCGCCTCGTCTTTTCCCCTGATGTCTCCATGGTTTTGGTTTGTTTAATATTTTAAGTTGGATTTTTGGATTTCTGCCTCTGCTACCTTTGGTCTGCCATTAAACCTCTCAGAACTCATCTCTGTTTCAGTCGTCTCTGCATGTGGGTCCCCGAGCAACCTCACCACCCATTGTTGACACTTGTAGGTAAGTTAAACAGTATTTCTTGTTTTTATTTTTTTTTGTTTTTTTTTTTTTAAGGATGTATGAAACAGCTTTTAACCCTATCTGTTGTTTTAAATCAGGTCTAGTTAAAGTGTGTAAAAGAACATTTAAGGGAACATTAAAAGCATGCCTGTAATGTGAGTTTATCTTGTATGATAACATAAACAAATGAACTAATATTTGTTTTCTATGATTTACTAACCTGCAGTTGAGCCGATGAACACCAGAGGATGTGCGAACCTCACAATGGTTTTAGACAACTGGAAATATGCCATTATGACTCAGGTCAAAGATCTGCTGCTTCATGACCACAACACCGTGCTGCCCGACTACAGAAGGTCAGCCTTTCTTCATGTTTAATCCCTTCAAAAAAGTAACTAACCTTTGATCAATATTCCTGCTCTCCTAAAGTCTTTTTGGGGATATTCTCTTTGAACTTTGGTTGTTTTTTCAGTTATTACCAGTCATATACTCTCCCTGTCATCAGCTAAACATATTTGATTATAGAAAGCTTTAAAACTAGAGGCCATGCCTAGATGAAGCTCTCATTTGCCTTCAATTATAAGAATTGGATGCACAGAAATAGGGACTTAGCTGCAAAAACACAGTTTGCAAAAAGTTATTTGCCAGGAACCAAACAAATGGTCGATAATCCTCTGTTTAGACCGATGGTCTGAAACCTTTACAATCCAGGGGGACATTTTGTCTTCAGTCCAGCTAATAAACATGTTTAAAGCTGCAAAAAAAAAAAAAAAAATGTGGGCTTTAAAAGAAAAACAGTTGTATATGATAACAGGGAATGTGTAATTTCTTTTGTTTTTTTGGGGGGGTAAGATGAATGCATTTTCAACGTATTGTAAAATTATATTAAAAGAACATTTTCCAGTTAATAAAATATACACAGCTGTTTTTTTTTTTTCAAGAAATTTGATGCAATTAATGAATTGAGGAAATATTAAAACCTTTATTTTTTAGTATATCTATATTTCAAAGCATTAGTCAGTACTTTGTCCTTTTTCGCCAAACTTATGGGGAGCCATTTTAGTGTCATAAGAGCCACAGTTTGCAGACCCATCTTAAAAAGAATAGTTTTTGTTGTGTAAGTATATGCCTTCTATAAACTCCACATATGCTTAGCTGTAGGAGCCATATATACATTTTTGGAATTGATAAGCATCTGTAATTGAATCGTTGTTAAGCTTATGACGTGGTGCCTTTTGATTGGTTTTTGAATAATTGGTTTATGAAAGAAAAAAGGACTTGCTCTTTGTAGAAGTTTGGCACCTTAGGAGAAACAATGTCTTGACTGTCACTTTATTTGTCTTGAATCTGCTTGTTTTATTTCTTTTAAATTCAGTAAAGACCAAAAAAATGCCGTCGGATTCAAGACCTCCTTTTTTCAAGAAGAAAGTGTCGCGTTCGAAAGAGCTTTAAGGGGCTAAACAAGTGAGGCTTGCCGCACTTACATTAGCTATACATAGTTTATTTTTTATTTTATTAACATCTAAAATTTAGAATATTGTCTTTAATTATCTTCTCTGTTATATCAGGGGAAAATGCCTAAATTATCAGTCAGCTCAGTAATAAAGCAACTAAAATCTAAAAGAGAAGTTGGAGTAAATTACATTTTATATTCAATTTAGACATATTCCCTGTTTTGAGAAAAATGATCTCACTAGTTTGGAAAAACTATTTGTAGCTGAATTATTTGCTGTTACGTCTTATCTTCCACAGCAGAAGCAGATATTTGTTTTATTATCGGTGATGAAAGGATAAATCTGTGTTCAACTCTGCAGGATTCAGCCTCTGTCAGAAGCTCTGGGAGATCTGTACAAAGAGTTAAACTCCCTGAAGGACCGTCTCGTCCAGCTCACAGCCAGGTTTGAAAATGTCGAGAAATTTGTGGACAATGTTCGATCGGGACAAAGCAGAGAGTTCCAGATGGACGACAGGACATGAGGGAGCAGCAGAAGGTGGAGGTCCACCTGCTGGGAGGAAAACCAGAGTCGTAGTTCGTAGAATCCAGAAACTAGTTGGCTCACAGCACTGATATCCTGCAGCATAGACCTCATTTCAGATCCTGATTTATTCATGTCAATGTACTTTAGCAGCGTCTGAGCCTATGTTGGAGTTTTTCTTAAAGAAAATTATACTTTAGCTCTATGCTGCACAGAGGCGTAGCCTGAAAATCCTAATAGAGGTTGCCCAGTCAATGACCAATAAACACTGAGGGTTGGCCGAAAGGCACCGGACCCTCATCGTCAATCTACACTGTTCCAACAGGAACAAGCACAACATCCATATTTTCTAAATAAAGACAAACTATACTTTCCTGCAGCCTTTGCTAACAAATAGATGCAGATATTTAAACATCTATGCTGTGTAAATAAAAGGTAGAGTGGACAAAATTCTTTCAGGTTTGAGTTTTGGGGCAAACATATTTCAATTGTCATTACCTACTTTTATCAATAATCATTCTGCAAAAAAAATATATTTAAATCTAATATCCTCATTTAATGAATTTTTATATTAAAGTAATTTGTCTATGATTTCACTGAAGACTCTGTGATGACTTGCAGAGGCACATCATTTTATCTTTACCCCAAAAAATTTTGTTCTGAAAAGAGTATCTTTAATTCTGTAAAAGTTTAAAAAACAATCCACTGGACTTGGTTTCCAAGGTTTGAAGACGTTTAGCTTTCCCTCCAGGAAGCTTTTATCAATTCCAATGTCTGGATCCACAGTGAGTTTGAGGCTTTGTAGAGACAAGGCCTTGTATTGCTTGGAAACATGCAAATTGAAACCGACAAGTGGGTTGTTTGGTCCCATTGTTGGCCTGTAATATCTGAAACCTGTTTATGATTCTGAAGGTCGGTCGTTAAAGGGGGGGATTGTCGTTAAAGGGGGGGATTGACTCCTGTAATACCTGAACCCTGTCTACGATTGTTAAGGGTCGGTCAGTCCAAACATTTGAATTGAGAAAGCTTCCTGCAGGGGAAGTTAAACGTCTTTAAACCATGGAAACCAAGTCCAGTGGATTGTTTTTTAAACTTTTACGGAATGACTATGACCTGGATGACTGAGAATCTTCATCAGCAGTATCTTTAATGTTTGTATATTGATGTGCATAATTAATCAGTGTTTCTGTTAAGCAGTTGTTAATATATGAAAAATTTAAATGTTTAAGTTTGAAAATTCCCCTTCAGAGTATTACTGCTGCCACCATCTGTATTAGAGTGGGAAAAAATGGTAGGGGTGGCCAATGATTGGCTAAGGCCACCCCTGGCCCCCCATCTAGCTCCACCCCTGATGCTGCACCATTAAATGTCCAGATGTTGATCTTAGACATTATTCTTTAACAGGTAGCTGCAATCGGACGGACGTGGAGCTGTAACCTTGCTGCTCGTTCTTGTTGGTTTTGTCAATTAAGAGAATACTCAGCACATTTCAAAGCGCATGCTGAGGTCAGTTGGCTATTAACAAGAAGCTTGGCCTCTATCCAAACAAATGGCTTAATATCCTTCTTTACATCTTTGCCTGAGTAAACACATGAACACACCCTAACTGCTCAGTGCCTTATTGCACAGCAGGCTATTGTCAGTCCATGTCGGAGCACTCTCCCACTGTGAAAAGGTAGAAATGGACACTGTTACTCTGCTCTATGTCTCCCTCGTCTTTCCCTGGACATTTGCCAAGTTTACCACAACAGAAGGGAGGGGGAAGAGGAGAGCACACAAAGCGTAGAGCCATTGACGGGGAGAGCGTCATGCAAAATGCATGAGACACCAGAGAGGAGGAAGTGAGCAGATGCATTTTTTTCTGCAGGTTTTTTTGTTTTATTTTTTTTAATCCATCTTCTAAAGTCTTCATCCACTGGTCCATTATATTCAAAGTAAAGGTGAGAAGAAATTAGGTGAGAGAGGAGGATCCAGGAAGGCAACAAGAAGGGGGCTGGGCTTCTGACTGATCCTGACCAAAGGGAGTTGACTTTTCTCTGTGGACTTTTTGTTCAGTGCTGCAGCGTTTATCTACTGCAGCTCTCGGGGGGGACACTTAACTGTGCACTAACTCTATCCTCAGCCGGTCCTTCAGCATGCCGAACATACAGGAAGAGTGCAGTGAACATGAGGATGTCCTTGGAGGAGGTGATGGTGGCTTAAAAGTGAGGAGTGGAGTGCTTTCAGAGATGACAAATGGAGTAGAGGAAAATATACAGAAGGAGTCACTGATGATGGAGCTGACCAGGCTGGTGCAGAAGGTGATGAAAGAGAGTAGCTGGTGGGAGAGGAGGGGAGTGGACTGCAGCATCCTGACTGCAGCGTTCCTCTGCCTTCCGCCTGGTAAGGATAAAACTCACGGCTGTAAACATCCAGATAAAACTCCCTGTGGCTCTGAAACTGTTTAACTAAATATTCTCACATTTATGTTGAGCTTTAAATTAAATATAACTGCATATACATCAATTACTTTCATTAGTATTAAACACTGAAGCATTTGGAAAGGGAAATCGTTTTTTGATCATTTTTACTAATATACAGTGGAACCAGCTTGTTTTATTTTTTTAAATAAAGTCCATCTATGTGGACCTCTGAGGTTTCGTTAAAGAACAGTAGAGCTTCACAGCAGAGGGATCTGGGATACATTGCTGGAGAGGTTTAAACATAGCTGCCAGTTTTAACAGACAGAGAAGAAAGAATCGGCCCAGAGACCAACGATAACAATGAAGAAGCCAGAGATCCTCAAGTGGAAGGTCTGTTGACAATGACTGTTTCAGATTTGTTATAAAAACATAACATTTTTCAGACAATCTCTGCTTCAGAGGACCCCATTATGAGTGTTAAATGAATGCAATAAAACATCAATAAATAAAATAAATCAAAACATTTGTAGGAGTGTACCTAGAAATATAGTTTGTACCAAGTACTAAAAGTGCAGCTATTACCAGTCCAGGCTTTGAAATGGAATGATTGGCATAGATCTTTGTTTATATTTATTGTTTAGTGTGTTTATGATATTAAGAGGAGGTGGATTTTGGGATGTTGGATCTGAGGAAGGAACTCTTTTAAGTGCTTTTGTGTTTGATTTAATGCTGCAAAGTTTTCCCAATGGAGGTTGTACAAATAGTTAATTGACCTTCAATACATCTAGAAACTTTTCTAGATTTGTCCAGAAAACAATGTCTAGATGATCTCCACAATCCTCTCTGCTGTCTTCATCACCTAAGTCCTTTCTATCAGTTCAATGAAAAAAAAACCTTATTAATCCCAAAGGGAAATAAAATATTGTTGCACCCACGCAGAGAAACCTTTTGAATTTACAGAAGAGTGTTTGCTAAAGGTCAACTAAAGGTCAAACAGGTTTAAAAGTTGCTCCAGTCTGATTAAATGTTTGTTTCAAATGTGCAAAAATATAAGTGCATCAGGAAATTAACACTGCCACTACCTTTGGCACACCAACCTCAATGGAAAATTGTGGTTTTAGCATCATGCTGTAAGGATGCCCGTTTAGCAAGGATAGAAAAGCTGGTTAGAGTCAGATAGCTGTGGTTCCATATTGAGAAATCCTCACAGCAGTGCTGTAAAATGCCGAAAAAGGTCCGATTTTACTTCTATGTTAAAGGTCATAGCTACAACATTTTTATATAAGCAATGATTTTTTTCAAAAATAATACTGAAAAAAGTAGTATACAGATAATTGTTATATGCATTTTGACAATGCCAACAATGATGGCTTCTTTATATTATGCAGATAAGGAACTCCTGAACATTCCTGCTTAATTTAGAGGTTTTCTAATAATATGTAGGTAAAAGGAAGACTTGGAGATGTGAGGAGTCTGGTTTCTGATGAAAAAGTGTCAGACACAGGCAGAGCAGCTTTCTCTGGTTACAGATAAGGTTTCATTTTACCACCTGATCTTCCTGCTAAATCATTTCAGGTTAGAAACGTATTCTGAAAGTTTGGATAGCTTTCTATCTGCTCAAGCAGATGAAAAAATGTTCATTGATCACTTCTCCTCCAGGCTCGCTATGTTAAGTGTTCATTTTGGATTTTAGCAGCTTTTATTATTTTCTATTAAATTTCTAGTTATAGTTTTTGGTTGATAAACTAAGGGTAAAATCATAAAGAATGAGCCTGCTAACTATGTACTTATGGAGGTCCTTCCAAACTGAAAAGACCTTTGCTGGATGTCTTCTCCGCACTCCACCCCATTTCCTGTCAGTCTACCTTTAAAATAAATGTCCTATACCAAAAAAATATAAAATAGCTAAAAAGGGAAAAATTAATTTATCTGCAGCAGACATAATCTAACAGCAAAGACTTAACAGTCTTAGGCTCTCAAAAAAGAGCTTTTTAGGGATCATCTTCGTGAACCTGTTTTTCTGTCTATCAGACAATGTTATCTATGGTGTTTTGCATTAATTCAGAAAAAAACTGCAACAGATTGTGTCTTTGTAGCGGACCACTGTGAAAACATGCAGGTTCTATGTCATGTATTCTCCTGCTTGAGTGTATCAGAGTTAAACAAAAAATAGAAAAGTTAAATAGAAAAAATCGAAAAATAATAATGCATGTTAGTCAAACAGGACATTCAAATCTTGCTTTCCTTCCAAAACTTTCCTATTACAATTTCTCAAGTTTCATAACATCTATACACACAAACTCACTGGCCATCTTATCAGATAAACCAGATACATTTCTTCCTAATGTTATTATCCAAATATATGGCAGCAACTCAATGCATTTAGGCACCTACTGTAAAGTAGCTAAGGAGTAGATGTTTAAAACCAAGCATCAGATTGGAGAAGAAATGGGATTTAGGAATTACATGGTTGTTTGCATCAATTTCAGAATCTATGTGGGTCTCCATGCAAAACGTTTTTAGAGAATGGCAAGAAAAAGAGGTATCCGCTGGCTAGGAGATGTTTAAATGGAAATTTATTGATTCTTGGAGTTCAAACATACTCTCCTCATGATCATAATATTCTAACCAGCAGAAAACTCTAATGGGACACCATTCCTGTTGGCTGTTACCAGAAATCCAAGGTTCTGATTAAAACTGGTTTCCTAAAATTGGACAATATTAGAAAAAAATATATGGTGCATGATTTTGAAGATAGGGTTAGACTTAATCATAAACAACATGAAATCATGATTTGATGAAGATATGCTAATGGCTTATTTTAGGCCACATCTTACCTGACCAAGTTTCTGACCATGACTATTTTAAACCAATAGTTTCATCGCTTTACAGGTCTCCCACCAAAGCATAAAAAAAAATATGTTTACTTTGACTAGACCCTTGGGACACCTACTGCTTTTCCTTTAAAGCCTTTCTGTTGATGATTCTTCCTGTTTTGGAGCATTGTCCTGCTGCTGACCCAGTTTGGTTCAAATTTCAGAATCTTATTTACCAACCTAAACCTTGCTGCCATCGCTTCTCATATAAAAAGAAATATGTCTTTTGGCTATACTTTTTTCTTAAGAAGCTGTTCATTATTTTTTCTAATTAAGATGAGATGGCAACTTAGTTTTCCAAGACTATGACTAACAGCGTTTTTTTTTTTTTTTTTTTTAATGTTTATCCATCATTTTCTTCCTTTTTCAGTTGTTCAAGATATATATCATGATGCTCTTGCAGCCTTTTGGGTTCAAAAATGTAAAGTAGGGAGAGTAGGAATATAAAAAAGGGTTGCAATCCATTTTAAATGCAGATTAACATGCAGCAAGTTAGGAGTTTCCAGTTAATTTAAAAGCACATCAAAAAGGAATTGCGAGCTACACTTTATCACCTGTGATGTGTCTTCCAGCTTTCCTGCTGCTGGGCTCACATCATTTGTTGTGGTTTTTATTGGGAATGCTGTTGATGGGCGTAGCTCATGCTGTCATCACAGTCAAAGGGACACATCTGGCCAGCCACGGGGCCCTCAGTGAGTCGCAGACCTGGGGAAAGTTCTGGTCCATCTTCTTCATTGAGGTGAGCAGAAAAAATATTAAATTTTTTACCATATTAAATAATTGAAACCAAATGAAGAGAATGACAAAGAGTCTCTGATGGTTTCTGGCACTGTGTTCCATTGCTGAGATGCTCTTACGGAGAAGACAGCCTGACCAAAGGCTGTTTTTCTCCGGGGGATGATGCAGTCTTGGTTATCTTAACTAATTTAAAAGTCTGATTTAATGCCAGAAAGTAAAAACAAATATTTGTTTCTGTTAGTCAGTGTAAATAAAATGTGTACTGAACCTGTATCACACTTTCCTGTCATAGCCTGCACCCTAAGCAAGAGATGCACCCATACATTGATTTACAGGGTGACTTAGAGAAATGAGAGATAACAGTGGCATTGCTCTGTTCACAACTCAGGGTAGTTTTGATTCTCTAATGAACCTCTAACTTCCAGTATTTTTCAGCAGGTATCTAAATCTTTGAGATATCTTCAGCTGCAAAGCAGAATATGTTGTTAAAAAACTATTTAGTAACTTCCTGCAACCCAAGCAACCAGTAATTCAGTTTACTAAACTTCTAAATTTGCATAAAGTACAAAGGTTGGTATTATTCCCTTATTGCTAATTAAACCTTTGGCCAGCAATGTCCAAAGGTTAAGTTAGAAAAACAGACTCCTACCTTTTATTTAGTCTGTTAAATCATCTGTTAACTGGCTGAAGTACATGTTTAGTTCTAATGTCTGTTTTTTAACTGTAGTCCTTTATTATTCTACTTAGATCTGTGGCTCATTCTCAGCCCAAGCCGGCATACATGGCCATATTAAGATGCATCATGCACACACTAACGTCATTGGACTGGGGGACTCCAGTGTCTGGAAAGTCCCCTTCCTACCTCGTATGGTCTACCTGTTCATAGCCCCCCTATCTGTGCCCCTCATCACTCCTCTTGTTGCCCTCGGTAAGACGGATCAAAGGATTACAGGTTCATCTTAATATTTCTAGAATTTCCAAAAATAATTACCAGCTTGAACTTGATTTTTTTTTTTTTACTTTTGGATGCTCCTGAAATGTCTTGTTTGTTTGCAGCACATCTTAAAGGACATTCTTCATTTGCGGTGGCTCGGACGCTCCTGATGATAGCACTAGGTCTGTATTCGCAGTACTGGCTGCTCATCAATGTATCCGGCTTCAGGTCGACGCAGGGAGCCTTGTTCTGCATGTTGGTGAGCAGAGCCATGTTCTCTGTGCCGTACATCCACGTCAACATTTTTCAGGTGAGAACAAAGTTTCTATTTTGTTCTACTTTTATCAAAAATGCAAATCTCAAACAAAGCGTCTTTAAAAAAAAGACCTGTTTAAAAGTATACAAGATAGCATTGTTAAAACAGATAGTAAACCCTATAATATACTCAAAAAATTGAGATTGTTAAGATAAAAGCAGGAAATGACTGAGTTAAACAGGATAGACATCCAAATGTAGTTTGCTTAAAAATGGTTTAAAATCATTCAGTGCCTTGTGGTTATTTTAGTAAAACATTACCTGTAGAAAAAACTTATTTTTCCCAAGTTCTATATATATTATCATAAGTAAACTCAATGAGATTGGATTGGAGAGCACAGTCGTTTTCCTTGATTTACATGTAAAGAGCTTGATGGAGCTGCAGTAACCAAGATTTTGTCAGGCAGCTGTGTTTGCATGAAGACAAACAACCGTTTTATCAAAATAAAGCCAGAGATTCGAGCTTACAATATTTATATAAACTGAACAAAATTATCTTAATAAAGACCCTTGAGGGACAAGTTTTGATAAATTCAGATGAAGAGAAGACCATAGATTAACCTGGTCTAACTACTAACCAACTGCCCTTTACTTTAAAGTAATTAAGATTAGGCTGAAATTGAAGCTGAAAGACTCTTATCAGCTTCACCTAAACCACCTGCGATGTCCCTCGTTCAGCTCCAGCCAATCACCTTTCAAGATCCCCTCCATTTAGCTCCTGGCCTACATTCTCTCTCCCGCTTGCAAGCAAACTTTCACCAACTTTCAACCCTGGGGGAGGACTTCTCTAATCCTTTTCTAGGGTACTCATCCAAGCGTATGTAGTTTCACAGCACCGAAGTCTTCTGCCGGGGCCCGAGCACCAAATAACTTATTTATTTACATCTTCATCTGTTTCTGTCTCCTAGAACCCCACTCAGCCTCTGCAGATGGCTGCTCACACTGAGCCTGGTCCTGCTGGAGGACAGCAGTTACATTGAAACTATATCAGAAATCCACAGGGGTTGAGATATTTTTGGGAGAACATTATATTTGAATGAACAGAATTATGAGATATTTTAACCCAAATTATTTAAACTATTTAGGTTATTTATCATGTAGCCTTTTTTATTGTATGTATGAAGTATGCAATTTCATTTGAGATCCGTCCTCAACTCATCATCCAGATTATTCTTAAAAGTCTTTGGAAACCAAATCCCCCACAGCTTTGCTTCTTTTTCATTTGCTGCCAACTGATCACGAGAGAGCGTTTTATAACAGGCGCTGTGGGAAACTCCAGCAGCAGGCAGCATTGTGTTACCATCAGAGAACTAAAACAATCCAGGCTTGATTTTCCCAGGCAGGATCCTGCAGGCCATTGTACATTGTTCAGATAAAAGTGTGTGAAGGTGGATTGGAAAATACAGATTTCTGATGTTTGTTCAAACTGGGAGGTTGGACTGGAGACCTTTTCTCCAGCGTCTCCTGGGTCACTGGGTGCTGTTTTTGGCCGGTTTCACCTTCCTTTCCACCCCCTAGAGTCAGAGCTCTTAGGTAGAGCTCCACCTCTGATTTGATTTGTTTGATGACACTGAAAACATCCTGCAAATATTGGGTTTTCACGGGGCATTGTTAACAAAAAGGATTTAGAAATTCTTGGAATTGATTTGCACAATCCCCACAGCTGCAGTTGCAATCTCCTCGCATCTCTTTTAAGTAAATTTAAACAGTGACACACCTGAAAGGATAAAGCAAACTTTCAGATGGAATTTAAACAACTTGCAGTTATTTTTTGTGATTTGTTTGACCTGTGTTTTGCAGCAATTTTACAACAAACTCAAAGAGTTCTTCATTTTTATAACCTCTTAAAGGTCTTTGTCAAAACATGATTCCACCATATAATATAAACCTTTCATATAGATGACTAAATGTCTCAAATTAAGATAGTTTTTACCCATGATGACTGCATTTAAACTTTTGTTTGGCCCCATGCAATAAAGTATTGTTGTAAAATCAGAGGAAAGCCCCTTTGAGATGCTTTGCATTCCCTGTAGAGCAGCACAAATAAATAAATCTCTTGTTAAATTAGGATTAATGTCACTCTGGTACACCAGTACACTCTGGTGCGATCTGAAGCTAATTCCAAAGCATTTCACTCTTATAACCTAATTCCTGTTTTTAATTAGGTAGAACAGCATAAGAAAGCTAAGAAAACAAAAAAAAAACTATCCTAATTTAGAAAACAGAAATGTTTTCAGTCTAAAAAGCTTCACCTGAGGACAAAGTTAATAGTATCTTTAAACTTTTTTATTTTTTTTTTATTTTTTTACAGCAATGGAGTTAGAGCCATCAAACCAGCCAAGCAGGAAGCGTGTTGCCAAAAACAAATTAATTCAGTTTTGATTTGATAAAAAGAGTTGTTGATGATCACCAAGCAGGAGAATGATGAGAAGTTATCACAGCTTTTTAACGTTCTAATAAGAGCAGTGATCAAGAGTTTTAAAGAGAGACGCACAGTCCTGAACAAATCTGGCAAAACTGGTGAGAGACAGAGATATGTATTAAAACTGCCAAAATACTAGTCAAAGGACTATTTACCCCTAAATCAACTCTTTTCTAAAAATCTGTATACATATCTAATAGACCACATGTCGCAGGCATCATTTTGACATTTTACTGGACAGTTGTTGAAATCCTTCTTATGTGTCTAAAAATGCCGGTTTAGTGCCCTCCTCGGGTTAAAAAGTGGTTACTTGATCAAAGCAAAGGGAACTTTTTTTATGCATGAAAACAAAACAGATTGATGGGTCACTTGGAAGAAACATTGCAAAATAGTTTTGTTTAAATTTAAAATTGAATTGGTTTTAACTTTTCGAAGAACATTTCCATGTAGTGACTGGATCGTAATGACTAAGAAATTTATCATTCTTGATAACAGGAGGATAGGTTTCAAATCTGCAGGAAACTTGCTCTATTGATCAGAGGCAAGGCAAGGCAAATTTATTTGTATAGCACAATTCAGTACAAAGACAATGCAACGTGCTTTACATGATTACAACATAGGAGAAGGAAACAGAATCAAAGCAAGTAGAAAATAAAATAAAATAAAAAATGCAAAAACAAAAAAAAATATTTAAAACAGCTGCACTAAAGAAAATAAAAAGGTTGAACTAATGATGTTTCAGTTAAACTGTTTAACTAGAACAGTCAAAGGCAATCCTAAACAAATGTGTTTTTAGTCTTGATTTAAAGGAACTCAGGCTTTCCGCACTTTTACAGTTTTCTGGAAGTTTGTTCCAGATAAGTGGAGCATAGGAACTAAATGCTGCTTCTTCACGTTTAGCTGTGGTTCTAGGTATGCAGAGCAGGCTGGAGCCAGAAGACCTGATTGGTCTGGAGGGTTGATACACTAATAGCAAGTCTGTGATGTATTTAGGTGCATAGCCATTCAGGGATTTATAGACTAAAATAAGTATTTTAAAGTCTATTCTCTGAGATACGGGGAGCCAGTGTAAGGACTTTAGAACTGGGGTGATGTGCTCTACTGCAGTTACATGGTGGCTGAATCGCGTTAGATATAAATCAGAACATGTGTCTTATTGCAGCACATTGGTCTGCCCATGTTCTCCCCAACAAGCCGGCCGAAGAGGATTTACCAGATGACCCATGGAGTGCTGAACCTTCCCCGTAACCCTCTGCTGGACTGGATGTTTGGACACTCTCTGATCAGCTGCCATGTAGAGCACCACCTCTTCCCTTTTCTGTCTGACAACATGTGTCTAAAGGTGAAGTAAATATTACTGCCTCAAACATATCATAACCTGTATGATATGGATCCTGGGACAAGCTGAAATCCAAAGGGGCTTTATTATTAATAATAGATATGGGCTTTAATATGCAACCAGTGGTTCAATTAAATTGTTTACAATACAGACCTTTTAGGCCAATAATTGGGTATTAAAACTGTCTCGCTTCACTTTGCAGGTGAAGCCAGTTGTATCCAAGTACCTGACTGAGAGGAAACTTCCATATCAGGAGGGCTCCTACCTGTCCCGTCTGCACCTGTTCTTTAACAAATACCAGGAGTTAATGGTATTTGCTCCGCCCATCACAGAGCTGGTGGGAGTCCAATGATGGAGCGAAGGGGCTGGAGCTAGTTGGACTGAGACTTTTCAGCTTACATCATGCCTATAAAAAACAGCCTTTAAAACACAAGGCATTAGATACATTTGCACTGTAGAGTTTAAATGATGAGAGATGGTTTTTAAAATGTTAATCTTCTTTAGGCTTACATGTTAGCAGATGATTGAAGCACTAACACATAGATTTAACCAAAAACATGTTCTCCAATCAGGAACCACAAAGATTTTTCTACTGATTTGTTTTCTGTCTCATGAAGGCTCTTTTCTTCATCATCATCACCATCATCATCTTCCCCTTTTACCTCCAAAATACAGCATACACTACCTCAGCTCAAGTTGGAAAATCATGCATCTGCAACAAATTTACTAAAGGCGATGATTTTCCTGTACATTTATCAGGCGAAATTGGAAAAGTGTGTGATGAAGAGTGAGCATGGAACTAAATTTTCTGTAAGCTAAAAGCACAAAACTTTTCCAGACTGCAGATATATATTTTATTGCGTTAAAGACACACAAAAATTGTCGGCAAGACAAAAATGCCTTATACTATATGCTTTTTTTGCCTTTTTGAATGGAATAAAGCCAATAAGTTAAAAACTTGTCAACTATCTAATGTTTTTGAGCCAATAACTTATTAATATCATTGCCCTTCAGTATAAAAGGTTAGTATGACATACACTTTATTGTAAATAATCAAAGATTCCTTTCATTTTTAACTTATCTGCAGCTTAAAAGCATTAATTTCGAAGAACTGCAATTATATGTATATCTTTTGACATAACTGGCAAAGATTATTAGAGTTTTAAACCATTTTTTGCCAGCGACAATGGAATAAAATCTTACATTATTGGCTAAATGTTATTATACTGGTGCTAAAATGTTATTATATAATTGGTAAGGTATTTTCTTTATTTTCTTTATTATTTAACAGCCTTCAGAAGTGGAATGGTTTCTACTTTCATGTTATTTTTTTATGGGAAGTAAAAGGTTTCCACAAATTCTGTTGAAAATGGTTAATCGGATCTTTTTCTATCCTTCTAAACTTTAACTGTGTGAAATAATCCTATAGTGGGAGGTCCTGAAATGCTATTTCCAAGGATTAGAAGATCAGAGTCAGGATTTTACGGTCATATGCTGAAACTTTTAAAGTTTTAACCCAGTTAGAGCTCAGATGTCAGACAGTGTTTAATGCAACCGGGCTGCTTTTATGATTTGTGGAGTCTGTTTACCCATTCTCTCTACGTTCTTGTTATTTCCTGTCATCTGTGAATGAGTCTCTGATTTTAGAATGAATAAACTGAAAGATTTTTTTCTGTCTTTTACCCCTTCCATCTGTTTTCAGTTCTCCCCTCCTGAGTTAAACTTAGTTGATACAAAAACTGAACAAACACAGATCCTGTGAAAATAATAAAATATGCAAGTAAATCCACAGAGGATAACCTGAGAATTAGGAAATGCAAAATCCTGGGCCTATTCAGAGTCCAGATCCTGAAATCATTCAGAATCTGTGAGGTGACGGAAATTGGTCGTACATGGAAGAAAGTCCTCACACAGCTGAAAATGAGGAGAGGATCCAGCAAAAGAGTGAGTCCAGATTGGTGCTTTAAGGCAAAGGATATGAAAACGGGACATAAGAACTTTTAGTCATGTTAAAGGCAATTCTTTTTTTTTTTTTTTTTTTTACTCTTTGCTTAGTGTGGCATTATTTGACACTGCTGCAAATGAATTCCAGCCTTGCTTCCTGTAGGTTTCTATGTCTTCTCCATTCTAATTTATTTTAGATAAACCGCTGGTACAACTGTGTCCTTTCAGCAAAAAGGTGCTTGGTTTGAATCCTGGCCTAAGGTCTTATTCTATGGAGTTTGGAGGCATTTGGACTTTCTCCCACAGTCCCAAAACAAAATGGTTAGGATAACTGGTTTAAGCATAGTTGTTTGTCCTGTATGTCCCAGCTGTACAGGAATAACCTGAGGTTAGGCTCTTGCCCTCTGGAACCCTGCAAAGATAACCTGATATTTATGGATGGGTGATTTTATTGCCACCCAGTGGAATAAACTCAACATTACAGTGGATTAGATGTGGTTTCTTATTCTTTTGACAATAAATGAAAATAAAAACAAATTACTTCTATAAATGTTTTTTGTTTTTAACTCTTTGAAATCAATAACTTTGGCAACATTCATAAAAATTGTTCAATAAAAAAAACCCTTTTCCATTTTAATCAGTGTTAATTGCTGCAAGGTGGCGCAGTTTGTTGCACTCTATCCTTGTAGGCTTTGAGTCTTTCTGCATGGTGAATGTATAGGTACTCTGACTTTCTGCAACAGTCCAAAACATGACTTTTAAGTGACTCTGGGGACTCTAAACTGCCCTTAGGTGTGTGCGAAGGGTTCCATGTCTCTGTGATGGCCTGGAAATGTACGCTTGACCAAAAATGACCTTAACTGACAAGTGGTAGAAGATGGAGGGGTCAAGGCCAATACATGAGATGGAACACTTGCAGAAGTGAACACAATGTAGTTTAAAAATGTTCTTCAAAATCAAAGTTGATAAATCGAATGAGTTTTTATTCTTTTAGAAACTAAGAACTTAAATCCTTGGTAGATCTGGGAAAATCTGAACCACTGGACACTGGGTGGTAGCAGAGAGCAACTCTAATGCCTAACACAATGAGCATTTGCATCTGCTCCTGATTTTTGAGCAGCAGACATTTCAGCCTGTTGAACTTAGCAAATTCCTCAGCAGTCAAAGTAAAACACCACAGCTGGTTGTCAAACTCTTGATATGAAGAATGTTTAAGCTCCTTAACCAATTAATTTGGTTGTAGCCATCCTTTGTCTGATTAAAAGTCTGGGTTTTTGTGTTACATATGAGCCAGAGTAATAGTTTTTTCTTCTGTCAGCTGTTCTTCAGCTGATGTTACTGGTTTGTGACTCCAACCTGTAAGTAGGGGAGGGTTTTGATTGTGTCTGTGGGAGTTTGGTTTGCATGTGAGTGTTTAGTGGGAGGTTTCTTTTAGACTGAAATGATGAGCTCTGAATAAAGGTGGGGTTTTCAGGCTCTTCAGTTTGAACCAGGAACTGTGGGCTGATAAAAGCGGCTCAGCCAGTTTTTTTTTTTCAGAGCGTTTAAGAGAGTTTGGAGCGAACTAAGAGAACAGCAGAGACATGGCAGATCCAGCACCAGTGGAGACTTCCACTGTGCCCAAACAGCAGAACCTGTGTGAAGTCTGTCCAGGTAATCTGAAAGTAGGTGAGCCTGCAGCTTGTGGTCAATCTGTAAAGGATGTCCAAAAGTGTCTTCAGAGTACTTCTGTCAAACCTGCTCCTGAGAATGGTCTCAAGCAAAATGGAGCATCTCCTGCTCCTCAGGACAAGACTAAAGATCAAAGTCAGAACCCAAAGACTGCGGAGGTCATAGGAGAACAAGACAATCTGAAGAAGTCTGAAGACCCCAAAATCCCAGCAGAAAACAAGATAGAGCCAGAAACACAGACAAACCAGGAGCCAAAACCAGAGGAAGTAAAGGAGGATCCATTGGGCCCCGATGATGTGGTTTGTGACTCCTGCATTGAAACCCCTTGCCGGGCCCTAAAGTCTTGCCTCACCTGCATGGTGTCCTACTGCGAGCCCCACCTCAGGCCTCACTTGGAGAACCCAAAGTTTCAGAACCACCGACTGGTGGAGCCGCTCAGGGACATAGAGAGGCGTACCTGCGAGAGCCACAAGTGGCCCTTGGAGCTTTTCTGCTGCGCTGACGTCTGCTGCATTTGTCAGGACTGTGTGAAAGAGGAGCATAAAGGCCACAAGACAACTCCAGTGGGGGAGGCAAGGAGACGGATAGAGGCAAGTGTTGCTTTGTCAAAATAAAGTTATTCATGGTTACTTTGAACATCACTTGTTAAGAAAATGGATTAAAGGGACTGACAGTTTAAAATGGACTTGACCTTATCTAAATTTGAAAACCCTGTTGCCATTTTCACAGCCACTTGCATGGCTTTATTGTGTTTTATTTCTTAGGTGTTGTTAGTTTTTGTAAATATGCCAAACACATTTTTGAGGAAATTAAAATTGGAGATCCTTAAATCTCTAGGCTCCATAATGTTTCCCCAATGACCTCAATGTTGAGCAGAAGTAGTATCCAATCCCCCAGCTGTTTGCAAACTTCCTCATTCATCAGCAGGGTACACTTGATTTAATCACAACAGTAATCCTATCTCTGTGTCCATTTTAAGGCCACAAATATCTGCATCCGACCCTCAGCTTGAGTCAAATTCCTGCAGAGACACCTATTATTGTCACAGGCTGCTGTTGGAAAATATCAAACTCAAACAACCAACAGAACAGTATCATTTCCCTGTTTTTTTGTTTTGTTTTTTTTAGACTACCAGTAAATCCTGGGTCTAATCTGCACCAATTCAGGCCCAGGTTGATTTACCACAAAATGGTCAGGTTATGAGATTGACCTGGTGGACTGGAATGAGACAAAATGGAGTTAAAGTGACCAACTGGTAATTTTAAGGTTGACAGTGATAACCTGGATTAGTTAAGAGGAAACATTTGGGTCAACCAGATCTATTCTAGATAAAAGATTATCAGTACAATTAAATGAAAAAATAATAGATATAAATAATTCAGTTTGAATAACAAAATGTATTTCACTCTAGACCTATGGTTTTAAATATAGATGGGTACTAAGTAAATCCAGGCTCACAATGGCTCAGACCAAATCGGTTAAAACCAGCTAAGAACCCTTTGTAGGCTCTTGCTGGGTCTGAAATTGTGAAATTGGTGTTAAAAAAATGTAATGGGACCAAAAAAAAAAAAAAAATGTACCGGTAGGACTAAGAGGGTTCCAAAGTTTTTCTGTATCAAATCTTGTTCTGCAGTTAACTTGGAGCATTCCTCTATACAATGGAAAATCCCAGACCCCTGACGGTCCCTTTTAGGGTCCCATTTTCTCCTACCTAGGTAGGCAGTGTTGACCTAGTGGTCAGAGCAGTGCGCTTGTGCTCTGAGAAGGTTGCAAGTACCCGGTTCGATCCCCACAGCCTGCACTCTGGGTCCCTGAGTGCACTGCTCCACGGGTGCCATACGATGGCAGCCCACTGCTCCCCAATGTGATGGGTTAAATGCAGAGTTAAATTTCTCAGTCCTAAACTCTTAGAAAGGTCAGTTCACTCCACATGTTTTAGGAACATCATTGGATCCTCCATTAGAAGCTCTTTTAAAAAGAGGCTGGCAACTCATCTGAACCCTGTCTTATCAACCTAACGATTGATAAGACAGGGTGTAAATTATACAGTGACAATAAATAGCTATCTAGAATAGAAACTATAAAAGCAGACCTATGGAATACAGATGTGTAAACCGATTTCCTTCCAATATTTCAGGTTCCTGTGTCAGACCCCTCTGTGATAACGCACACCACAGGCAGTGAATTCCTGCTCTCATTTAACGTGTTTTTAACCTACATGGGCAAGCCGACTCAAGAAACTGAGCAAAATTTTTGCCCCAGGGTTTGAATCTTATTCTAGATGCCGTCAAGGCCTGCCTTAAGAATTCTGACCCATCTAGCTAACCTGACAAGAAGAAAAACCTCTGAAAGAAATTGTATTAAAAAAAGGATGTTAATGTTACAATACCGTGACAGAGTAAAGAAAACCAGACAAAAACGTGTAAATGTTTACATCTTCCTAAATGTTAAGAACATATTTTCTGCATGACTAAATGTGGTGTAGTTTCTACTAGAAGGCTTGCTCAGACCTTTGTGCTGCCCTTCCTTATGATCGCAGAAGGAGCTGCGGGAGAAACAGACTGAGATGGTGAAGATGGTGACAGCAGGAGACAACGCCATCAACAAACTCCAAGACAACAGAGTTTCTATTGAGGTAAACAGAAGAGTTGACTCATCTGTAAGATGACTTAAAGGTTGTGAGACAAAAACGTATCCCAATCACCGAATCAGCTATTTTTAGTGAAAAGTTTTAAAGCTAACCTGGACAAACAGGTTTCCCTGTGAGGTCAGAATAAAGCTGTAGTAGCCATGCGATGAGGTAACAAATATTTACCCTGTGAGGGCGTGTAGGTACGTAACATCACCGTGTTGCTTCACTGCATTCTCTGCCTGTTATATTTCACAGCAATCGGTGACAAAGGTACGGACGGTGATCGAGAGCCAGTTCCAGGAGCTTCAGGCCATCGTGGAGAGGGCCAAGAAGGAGCTGACTGAGATTCTGGAGAGCGAGGAGAGTCAGGCGCTGAAGCAGGCTGATGGCATCCAGGTTCACCTGGAGCAGCGGTCCACAGAGCTGAAGAAGACA